CTATCAAAACGCCTGCCATTTGAAATAAATAAATATCTGTAACACACAAAGTTACACGCATATTGGGTGATTTGAATGACGAAATGATGAGTTTAATCAGAGACTCTTTATTATCGGGGACACGGTGGCAACTAAATAGTCTGTTGGTTGGTAGAACGTAGTTAAGTTTATTTGAGACAGGTGCAAATTATAGCTTAAATCACCGCCGAAGTTACGGACATTCAAGTAGCAAAGTTGGTCGATAATGCAGAACCTTGACAACTCGCGTCTCCCAGTGGTTAGGTTATGAGGAAAACAACTTGTGTTAAAAAAATACCCGATGGTCCTGGATACCTCAAGCCACAAAATCGTAGCGTACAAAATTTTTTTCCCACTCATCAAGCTTAAGATTGGAAAATATGCGTCGTCCTTAACACAGGCGAACCAACTGATCATTTTCGTTAGATCAAGTGGGCCAAAAAGTGCTCCTTTCAATGTCTTGATATTATAGAAAAAAAACACAACATAAGACGAAAAAGTCACGGACTCTGATTACCTTGGACTGGGAAGCAAATTCTGGAGATACTGGATTTGAAATATTTATTTCAAATGGCAGGCGTTATGATAGGTATCATTAACCCTTTAGTTGACTTCAGGCTTCACAGAAAGGAAGATAAACAGTAAAGTGGCAAAACGTCGAGAGGGGGACAGAATAATGATTCACAGACGTAAAAGAGGCAGACAGACAAAAAGGTAGAAAAAGGTGAGGTGAGTACTGTGAAATTATTCGAATATGAAATGCAGTGGGGTCTTGGTAGTTTGAAGTGAGAAGTCAATTGCCAGCTAATAGACTTTTTTGCCGTATGAGTATACGTTGCCCAGGGTGCACCACGTGGAGGTAAGTCTATCGCACACCCCGGATTTGAAATATAAAGATACGGAAGCCAATATTACCCCATATCACCCCGCAGAAATGATACAATCTAATCACCAATGTATGCCGTGGCTTACATCAAGTGGGAGGAAAAATGGGAAAAAATTTAATCAACGAGAAATTCTCTCCCCCCTCCCCCCCCC